AAAAAGTGATTGCTTTACAAAAACATCATTCCCTGTAATAATTTGTCTCACACAAGGAATCACTTTCACACTACATCATTCAAGAGTGACTTTGGTAGAATTTGAACATTCAGGTTACCCAGCACAACAAAGCTTTCATGATTTACTCCTGCTGACTTGTTAATTTTTTTTATAGTGCAGTCGTTAAAGTTCAGGGCTTGCTAAGCAGGAAGCATAGGGGGACAAGGGTGCAGATGACATTTGAAAAAAGCAGAAGATAATTTATTCATTTATTTACAGCATAAATATTGTAGCGCTTGTAGCTAGATTCCGAAGTAACTGACTGATCACTTCTAAATGGGGTGATTTTGTTAATTTAGAATTTTGGTTGAATTGTACAAAACCAGTCATGTTTCATCTGCAGCTCTGGGTCATTCATTAGGAACCGTTTGATGTAGACTAAAACCAATTATGCAGTCCTGAGCAGGAAGCTGAGAGGTTCACTTGGCTAACCAAAGGCTGATAACCGAAGGGGGAGCATCGACTTCCTTTCCCAAGTCTACAGCATAATAGTGAAAACAATAGTGCTTAAAACACATACACAGAAAGACTAGAATTGCTCTTTAAACTACTGTAGACAAAGTGATGGGCTTAAAATAACTGCTCTCTTCATTCTGCTCGGTAATAGTAGACCTAAACCCTGTAACAAATGCAGTGTCGACTGGTGTAACCGAGCGCCCTGTGCGGCTAACAAGCAGAGCAGACACAGATCCTCTTTCAAAGGTCTCTTTAATCCAAAAAGAAGAAACGTTTGCAATTGTTCGCATGACAATCAAGCTGCTGAATGACTGTCTGCTACCTAAATCATTTCAGTCTCGTATGGAAATCAAAGCCTCTAGCAGACTGACTGTAAACGAAAAGCAAAGCACATGAGAATGACTATGATGTGCGCATGTTGGGAGCTCTCAGGCACAAACGTGCATTGTGAGCTTTGCTATGGAACCTGAGCCAAGGAAAAAAACTGATTTGGGATACACATGGCGAATAAAGCGCCTGATCCTCATGCACACAAGCAGGCCCACTGAAGTCATCAGGCCTACATGTGCGAGTAAGTTCTGCTTGCATGAGCAAGTATTTGAGGGATCGGGCCCAAAACTGAGACAGTCTGTTCAAAATACTACCAAGCTAATTTGAAAGCAGGTCTTTGTTTTGATGCTGAGACATCAGTATCTCCATTCAGTCATTGAGGGGCTCGGCCTAGCTGCTACGGCTGTGCCATGCAAAGCACCTGCCCTTACTCTAAGAAAACTCACTGAAAGGGAGTCAAGCCAGTACTACTTTATTTGTACCTTGTTGAGGGCGGGGGGCCCCAATCCTGCCCTCACAGAGAACGATAGCAAACACATCGTTGATGTCAATGGGGCAAGTGCTGGCCCAGAGTGATTTACTTGATAGTTTTATGTTAAATGGGAACTTGTCCAGTCAGAGGCCCCGCAGATTCTAAAATACAGTTACAAACTGTATTTAAAAAACAAAAAGCTATTCAGGATCTAATGTTGGCAGAGGAAGGAGCAGTAGGCTGCACACAAACTGAAGTGCTCATTTTATACCATTTCATTTTAATGATTACTTTAGACTTTATGCTGGCCCCACACAACTAGCATCTGTTTACTATGAATGTTGCGCCATGCTTCAAACAGAAGCACAACTGTTGCAAAGAGCCCTTTCAAGCTACACTATCCAGACCCACTCCAGTTGGGTAGTTCTGTGAAAACAAGAGCCATAGAGAGTGGCAATAATGCTTATTATAGCTCTTTTATAAAAACTGAAGAGGGTATTAAATGTGTAGGTCCCCATTACATCCCCTTCTTGTTAAATAAAGACATCTTGTTCTCTTCTCTGTGTAGATTTCTTCATCAGTGATTTCTTTGTTCCGTGATTAAATTACAGGAAGAGGGTAAATTACCAGATCATTTTTTCTAACTCCTCAGTCTGGTTTGACAAACTCAGACAACTTTAAAATGCTTGGACAGTATTAAAAAAAGCAACACAGCCATTTAATTTTAACCCTTCCCCTTCCTCCCCTCCCCCAAAGCCATCAACTCAGCAAAGCATCCCTAAGTGCTTAACTTTAAGCTCATGCTTAAGTGCCATTTGCTTGAATTATGCTTTGCTGAATTGGGGCAGATGGTTGTGGCTTTTCTGCTATTACTTTCATGCAATGTTTATTAGACACTTCTAAAACAGCTACAGCCATTTAGAGGTCGATGCAGTATTTGATCTTTATGTTTTCCTCTAAAGCACTCAGAGAGGATCAGTAGTTAGAGAAGAGTTTCACTCTTAAACTCCCAACAAATTCCATGATAGATTCAGACTGTGCACTTTGATGTATTTATTCTGCTTCTGGATTTGTTCAGTCTACTGGAAAAGTAAAAGAAAGTAATCAAAGGCCTGCCTCTCAACATTCCCTTCCCAGCATGGAGAGGCCATGCAAGGGGTCTCATTCCAGTTGAAAACTGTGGGCTGTGGAATATCATGTCTCAGATGCTAGCCCTTCTGAAAAAGCATATAATGAATAAAAATATCACAAACTCCTGGAATGGCATTGAACTTAAGAGTGTTGAAGAGGAGTATGCCTTAAGGACAATGAATGAACCACCTGAGCTGTAAAATAGGCTTCTGGATTTTGATTCAGTGAACTTTAACTTTTAGGAAAGTATTTCACAAGCAGCTGTTCCTGTCAAGACTGTGTCCTTCATCCAAACCATAATAAACTCTTGTGTTATCATGGTATCCCTGTAACATTAATCTGTGCACTGTATAGGAACACTGCCTACATATAGAAAATGTGGGCATCTACTGTATAAACTTAGCACCTAGAAACTCTCCATTTCAAAGAACAAATTTAGCTGCTGGTGGTGACATAATCACATCCTCACAATAAGGAAAAGCTCTGCTTAGCTAGTGTTTGTCTGAAATCAGTAGTAAAAAGGAACAATACTCTAAAAAGGAAGAGTTCAAGTCACTATATAAAATAGTTACTATCCATATTAGTGTTGTTATATATGGAGAGAGATTAATCTAGTCTCACATTACCACTGTCAAAGCAGGATCCAGATTTACAGTGAAACTAAACCCTAAGAGAAAAGGAGAAATAAAAACGAATTACACTTCAGCATTTCTAGACTTTGCAGGTTTTAATCACATATACTGTCATACTTGGACAATTTATTTATACTGTGCAGGTGAGTTACAAGATTCTTGAGAAGGATGACATAGGAGGGCAGTTAGCATGCACTGCCCTCTCATCATTTTATTTACAGTTTATGTCCAATGAAAATCAATAGCTAATGAATCAAAGCATAATTACACAAACATTAACAGCTTACAAAAACTAAGGAAGTGTCCATACATACCCAATGGCAATAATTTATTATATTTCACCCTTAATATTTTACGGTCTTCATTGGTAATAAGATCATTGACAAATCAGATAGTGGATTTTTTTAAAGTAATGAACATTTTAGTGACTTGACAGGATTTTGTATTGGGTAATCTAAATATTCATATCTGAGCATATCAACAACACTGGCCATTACTTGTTTAAATCTAGAAAAGATTTTAGCATCAAGGTAGTTCAACTTGCCATAGAGCCCACTTTAGATTGAGTACTGTGTACTAAAACGTTTGATGCTAGAGAAACAATCTGTGAAAGTGTAATGCTGTTGATTCAGAATTTTAAAAAAGTATTTACAGAGGTAATACAAAAGATTATTTTTTTATACTTGATTCAATTAAGACTTGAGTCTTCACATTCCAAACACCCAATCATTTTATTTCTGATTTTTGGCTTTCAGTGCTTTCCCCCAAACCCAAATTATTAGCTAGTCTTTAAAGTAAAACATCACAATTGAAAATCTTCAAACAGTAAAAGTTTTTCAAATTTGTGCCAAAATAAAATAACAGCATTTGAAAATTATTCAAGAGATGCCACAAACACTTCATAATTAAGGAGGGATTCAGGAGCCAAACAGACTTAAAAACTATATTGAACTTGGGGGTAGGGGAGAGAGATGTTTCTCCCTTGACTTACTTTATTTTGTATAAACCACATTTACAAAACGCTCCTGGGCCTTTTCTGAGTTTCCAATACCTCCTTCCTCTGGCACATATGGTTTAATATACAAGCATTTAAATAAAGTGTCAAATCCAAAGCCCCACAGTAAACAACTCAGCTCTTCTGAAAAAACAATGATTCCTAAACATTTTTAACTGGCCCTGACTATATAGTCATTCAATTAAGCATGGTTGAAAATTCACAGAGAGGATTTCATATATAAAAGTTTTATCCTGTTTATCCTCAGGGCAATCCCATGCAAAGAGGAAACTAGAAGGAACCCATTTTCATGTTATTACTTTTTTGTTTCTGTTGGATTCATTCCAATTACTGTAGATATAAAGAGACTCAAAAGCTTTTTGTATTTTCTGGGGGGGTTATGAGCTTGTTGACGTTAATGAATTTAAGTGAAAAATAAATCTCTTCAAGTCCTTATTTTGCACAGTTAGATAACCATCAACTCTTTTTTTTTACCCCCCCTTGGTAGAGTCTTTACCATCTGTGTTTACTGTTGCATTTTATATGTTCTCATCTTGAAATCAGATATTCTGAACATCATTTCTTTATGCTTCCATCTTGTTTTTCAAATTCCTGCTGGCTTTGGGCTGGAGCCCCTTCATTCACTTTCTGGTTGCAGTTGGTCAAATCCTTTTCACGTCACTCAGCTTTGGAACATCAGAGACTGCGAGATTCTCTAGATCAGACTGGTACCAATTAAATTATGGAATGGAATCAAGTTGATTTGATGCAGAAGTTTTGTCTGGTTCATTTTCATGCTGGGTTTGCAGATGTAGCCAGCTCAAATGATTCAGGGATCTGGATGGGGAGTGGCAGCTGTTTCCCAGCCAGTCTCTTAACAGCAAAAATGTAGAAGAGAAATTGAGAGAAGGAAGAGGAGAGTTGTGGTTGAATGCAGGGAATTTCCATGTCCCCTCATGGTGGTATTGTTCAGTGAATTTGTGACAGCTAGTATAGAAGTGGAACTTGCTGTAGAATTATTGCTGGAGGGTGTTGGGTTGGTTCCATTTAGGTCACAGTAAGTCTAACGTATAAAAAATTTAAGGGGGAAAATGTTATATTTTTCATTAAAAGCCATCATCTGATGTTAATATTTATGGGGTACAAAGGAGTATTCATGTCAGCGCCATTCAGACGTGATGCACACTAACAATTATACATGTCCCCCATCATTCAATTGTTAAGGGCAAAGACAACTTGAATTTCATGGAGTGGGCAGACAAGTTTCAGTGACTGACGCTTTCTGACAGTAGCTTCCCTGTCATACGCTCGGTATCAATACTGTGTGCACTGAGAACAAAATCAAATACCACAGAGAAATAGTTTCTCTGTTTGAAAAATTCACCCCACAAATCCAAGCAAAAATTAAAAGGAAACAAACCAAAATAATGCCTCATGTAGAAATGTGCAGATGGCTCCATTTTATTCTTGGTTCCCTACAAAATATGTACCCCAAAGGATCCAAATGATTTATTATAGGGACCTGTTTGTTCATCTAAGTGTGCCAATGGCGCAAGTGGGAGGCATTCAATCTTTTTGTCTACATTTATTTAACTTAGTTCTTTATTAAAATACCATAATTTAACATAGGCAAAATACACTTGCAACAGCTCCAGCTCACCTTGAGTCCTGCTTCATCCTCTTTAAGTGGACAAATTTTATATTAAAAAAAAAATCTAATTCAGACAGTTAACTCCTACACAAAAATCTAAACACTTAACAGTGAAAAGTCTTTTGAAGTACTAGCTCTTGCATTGACTTTGTGATTACTTTGAAGCAGGTGTTAAGGTCAATGCCAGTGTATTAAATATCTTCAGACTCCCTGGTCTCATATCAGTTCAGCTTGTTTGTAATGAGTTAAGACAACAGTGGAACTGTACTGATGAGAGCATACCTGTTATTGCTGGCAAAATGAGGCACATAGCTAAAGAAAACATAATTGAAAGTCCAGTACAGTTTGGGCAGGTAACAAAAATCTATATTATGGGGCATCAAAGTCATCTATGCTGATATAGCTTCTGATTATAGGGCTAGGACCCATTTTGAACACTATTTCACCCTAGCAGGACCTTACTTGTCATGCACACTAGAAACTTTTCAAAATTAAATTAATTCATTAAACAAAAAGAGGAGAAGGAGGGAGGAAGAGACACACAGACACACACCCTCCACACCATTAAAATACAGCAGTGATTAGTTACTGACCCCAGAAATCTTAAGCTAATATCTGGGACAAGAGGCTTGTGTTTCTGTAAACTCCAGGAGATGAGAAATGCTGGGGCAGATTCACGTAAATAAAGAGTAGTTTTTTAGAGACATGACTAGGACAAGGGATAATACTATCAATAAAACAGTCCTCGTGTTTATTCTTTCATGAATGAGCTACATCTTTCAAGCAGAAAAGACGGCACCATCCCTGTCCTCAGGAGCCAGAAATTTGATGTTAATTTTACTTTTATGCTGCACCTACCTTTTCAGTGTGCAGCAGAATTTTGGACTGAAAACAGGTCATTGCACTGGAAAAGTTGCCAGGAGAGAAGCTGAAGTTTTGGGCAGTTTGGGAAGATTGCCAGGGGAGGCAATTTAGATCTATTAAATAAGCCCATTCGTTGGACGTTTCTGACACAATCACCAGTGAAATAATTGACATGTATAATTGTCAACCTTGGATTGCAGCGATAACCCCCCGCCCCCCACTGAGACAAGCGAGCCTATCTTTAGACGCGGGCAGACATCACTACCTCGGTTTGCTGTCAGTTCACATTTGGAAACTTTTCTTCGCCACAGTAATGGATAGATTTTCCCCTCCCCACCCTGAAAGCTCAGATTCCGGAGCTCAAGCTCAATTCTGCGGCCAATTCTACAACTTCACAGAGTACAAGACGGCAAGTCTGCAATATGTTAAAATACTATACACGCACCTGGGGTTTGATCCTGCTCCCTTTGAAATCAAGGGCAAGACTCCTACTCAATTCAGAGGGAGTAGGATAAGAACTTTCTTTATTTATAGCAGAAACATGTTCAAACGAGCTTTTATTTTACTGGCTTCATGACTCAATGGTCTCTCATCGAGAGATGGCACTGCCCAGCCGGAGACCTTATTGCACGATCTCGATGAGGACTCGGGGAATGCAGGGCTAGGTGAATGCTTGACAACACGTCCTTTCAAGGCTGTTGCCAGGTAAAACTCTACGGGCGTGATCACCGTTCTGCGAGTAACCATCTGGCTAGTGGGCTTTAAATAACGTGCTTTCAGGGACATCGGAAAGTCCGCCCTTTCAGTCATCCCCAGATCTGACCGAAATCAGAAGCGTGTCTCCCATTGATTTCCAGGGGCTTTGGATCAGGATCGCCCCGATCATCTGGCAATGGGAGTTTAGTTGTGTCGATTTCAGTGTAGGAACCGTGGCCCCTTTGTCTGCCCTGGGGATTGCTACTCTCGGACTGGCGTTTTCCTTTCTAGGATCCCACATAAAGAAAGTCAAACTCCCAACTTGAAGAAAGAAAGAAAGAAAGAAAGAAAGAAAGAACGCGTTGCTGGATAGCAGTCAGCCAGGGGGATGCTGGGCTGAGCCACCCTCCCGCCAAACACCACACAAAGCTAACCCTGCCTTGGGAAGGCTGTGCAAACCAGAGCATGAAATACACCCCACCCAAACCCTCTCCTCCCGGGGCTAGCTCCTGTCGCTTGCCCGACATGGGGGAAGGAGGGGGGGTGAGGGCGGGAAAAATTACGGAGCAAAACTGCACCCGATCAAGTGTCTCCGAATTGCACATGGAGAGGCGCCCCTGCAGGGGCCCAGCGGCTCCCGGCGGTGCCCAGCGCTTGCAGGATGCACACCCCAGGGCGCTGCTGGAGACGGAGGCGCTCGCACCAGCCGTGGCTCCGGATACCCCCAGCCTCCCAACTCAGGGCATCCTCCCCCCTGCACCTCAGCCGCGATCACACCCTGCAGCGTGTGTGGGGCATTAAACCTGAAGCCCCCAGTGTGGGAAGCACAGAGACTGGGCTTCCTCTGGGAGCGGCCGGGAGTCCCTTCCCCGGGACAAGAGTTGGGGGTGCGGGATGGGGGCTCCGGGGATTCCCCCTTCTAGGGGCATCAGGGGCTCGAGGAGTGGGGTCCTGATCCCTTGGCGGGGTCCTGGAGGAAGCTGGGGTCACCCCGGCTCACCTGGGGGGGAAAGAGAAGCGCCAGGAGCAGGAGCCCCAGCCCGAACCGCGCCGCCAGCCCCGTCCCCATGTCCAGTCCGCTCCTGGTCCCGCTGCTGCTGTCGCCGGGCTTGAGGAGAGACCGGGCTCCGGGCTTTATAGGGGAGCTGCAGCCACCGCGACGCGCCTCAGCCTCCGCCCTCCTCGGTAAGACCCCGCCTCCTTTCCCTAGGCCTCCCCTTCCATTCCCCCTCCTGCTGTCCCCTGTCACCTCCCTCCGCCCTGTCTCTGGCCCCCATTCCTGCCTTCCGCACTGGCCCTGCCTCCCAGTTCTCTGGCTTCAAGTCTCTGGCTTGCCCTAGGTCAGAGATACTCAGAGCTCAGTTGTTCAGAAGCCAAATTAGTGATCACCCAGATGAGCCACAGTAGTAAGAATTAATTGTGTCATTTACTCTAGCACTATATAGTCATCTTTAAATTGTATGACGGGAATATATATACACACACACAGCAAAATGACTGACCAAGTATTATTCTAGTTAATAACATAGTAAAAACATCCTGATTGATTAATAATTAAATCACACAAAAATGTTTTAATATCATGTGCTGCAAAGAGCCACAGAAAACACATTAAAAAGCCCCGTGTAGCGTCGGACCCTGAAGTATCACTGGGCTAGAGCTTCACTACTGTACATCTCTCTCTTCCCTCCCTCCTTCCCCCCTTCTGCCTTTGGCTGTCCCCTTCTATCTGCGGTCTCTCCCTGGACCTTCAGCTGGCATGTGGATTTACACTGCTAAAGCAAGGGCAGATGCTACTGGAGGCACAAAGAGGAACAAGCTGAGTGTGTCTGGAGCGGGGGCTGCAGAGTGTGCAGCTGGGGGACTACGAAACCTTCTGATACTGCAGTGTTCTGCTCTAGCCAGAGGTACTGGGGTGTGTTAGTTAATTTGCAGTCTCTCGGATGAGTCCAATCATTATGCCTTGCAAAACAGAAAAGCGATGGTAGGGCAGGAATGCCATTTTCTCTTAGGTAGCTGTTTATGTAGAGTTAAAGAGGCACCAGCATGTTGATATTTGTGTTTTAAAACAAAGGCCCTTGGCCGTGTTATTTAAACCACCTTAGATTCCTTGTTTTTGACTGAATTACTTTCGAGAGCTTGATTTAATTTTCACCTTTTATGCTGTTTAACTCTCAGGAAGAAAATGAAATCAAGCTAATACAGTTTACTTTTTGTCTGTTGTCAATTTCACTGGTTCTAATAGACTACACAATGCTATAAAGGATGGGTTGCAAACACTTTAGAGCAATGTTTAAGTCTATAAAAACAGGGTTTTAAATGAAAATATTTCTATTAATATTACATCTTGTGAACAAGATTTCCTATCTCCTTCCCCATTATTTTGTTAAAACCTAAATCTGGGCTTATATTACTTGGGGCCGGCTCTTTAAGGAAGGCATTTCTGGACAGGCAATAGGTACTGTTTGAAGACTGGCACTTGCAGTACTAAGCCAACAACCACAAGAAGGGCCTATTGGGTGAGACCAATGATCCATCTCACCCAGTATCCTGTCTTCTGGCAGTGGTTGATGTCAGGTGCTTCAGAGAGAATGAACAGAACAGGGCAATTTGTCCAGTGATTCATCCCCGGTCATCCACGCCCAGCTTCTTGCAGATGAAATCTAGACAAGTCTTCCAGAGTCCTCTGCAAGAATCTCTACAGCTCCTGGCTGTTGTTTCAATGTAGACAAGATATCCAATCAGGCAAAGTTTGGTAAAGTGCTTTAAAATAACGACTGCCTCCAATTTTAGGGAGTGGGGGAGGAAGAGCAAGAAAAGCGGTTAATATTTCAAAGCATTGTCCATTTTGATGAGAACAGCAGCAGCCGAAACCTGGGTTGTTAGACCCCCATATTCTCCTTTTGTCAATTTCATGTGTGGCTGCTGCTGAGAGGTGTAGATGCTGGCTTTCACCTATGGAACTCTGAATAACTATACTGTAACCAGAGTATTTTAACTTAAAATAATTTTGTATCAAATAGTTACACATGCTTAATTTTTTTCTACTAAGTGTTCTTACACTAGAACTTAAGACATATACAGTATATTTATAAATACACTAAACACTAATTTAAAGCACTGCAGACAGTCTGGGTATAGCGAATACCTTCACTTCTTAGGTGAATGAAGGCAGCTCTTGGCCTAATGCCTCACAATACCCTCAAGTATATAGATGTCTTTCCAGGTTCTTTGATGTGTGCTTATAAAGGAATAAAACGTGGCCAACAAGTCCATAAGGGAGTGACTGCACTGATATATATTATCTAAATGTAAGATTGAAGTTACATTGTACTATACAATATATGTTGTAGACTCTGTAGAGAGTCTTCCAGGAAAATCTTGAATGCCTTGCAGAGATAGTTTACTAAGTTAACTAAGTTTGTTTACAATAATACATTGTTAACACATTACACTGTATAAAGTACAGAATGATGTACTAAATGATTATTTTGTGACAAACTGACCGGACACTTTCATTTAAAAAGAGACAGAACCTGACGTTCTGTATTTAACAGCTCTTGAACAACAATAAATACAGATCAGTGTGTTCAAGACCAAATATCTGCTATAACCATGGGCGGTGGGTGAAACTTCCCCTGGGGGAGGCGAGCTCCTTGTCAGGCTTCTTCCGCCTACAGCCCCACCCACACTCCACCCCTGCTCTGCCCCAGACCCCACCCCCACCGACTCACCACTCACATCTTCCCCGCCCTGAGTTCCCCCTCCACTCACCTCCTCTCCCACCTGCCTGCCGCTTGCCCACCTGCTGCTCTTCTCCTCACCCCCCTCCCCCGCCAGACCCTTTCCCCATGCAGCTGGCTCACCACTTGCCTCCTCACCCTGCTGCTGCCCCCCACCCACCCTCTCCCCTTTTCACCTTAAAGCACTAACAACATTCCCCAAGGGAATTGAACAAGCAACAGGTATAGCTCAATTGCCAGATAGATTCTCTTCTGCGTGGCAGGGATTCAGTGTATGCTGTATATAGAGAGAGACGAAAAGCCAGGCTACCTGGCCAACCTGAAGCCTAATCTCTCCTTTTGAAAAAGTGCTTGTCATTGACAGCCTGCATTAAGGCAGTACTTTAATCACCTTTCTTACACAGAATTCCCTGCCAGACTCGTTTACTTAAACTGGGTTTGAATAAAACGACTAGATCAAGAAATAAACTCACTGGCTATGTCAGGGCCTCCTTGAGCCAGGTTAGCAGTTACTTCTTTTGAGTACAGAGAATAACTGAAGGATCGTCATTTGGAAACTATTTTTAACCCCAATAACACATTTTCCTACAATATAAAAGCCACCTGGATGTGGCCAAAGGCTTCCTGGGCATTGGCAAATGCCTGTTAAATGGCTTCATTACCACTTAATGGCTCTTTAACAGTTTCAGTGATCTCTGCTACTAGGTCTCTGGAAGGCTTTTTCACTGTGTAAAGTTACCCAGGGATCCCCTCCACTCGTCTCCTCACTCCCCCCTGCCCCCGCCCGCATCTGCCGCTCACATCCTCTCGCTCGCTCTCTCACACACACACACCATGCCGGGGGCGGGGGAGTGAGGAGAGACGCGGCCGCAGCTGCGGCGACCTCCAAGGGGGGAAGGGCGTGGGGTGGAGGAAGACTCCAGGCAGCAGCAGCAAGCCATGGGAGCCTCGGGGAAGGGTCAGAGCAGAGAGGGGAAGAGGCAGGAGGGCACCATGGCCCAGGTGTCGGATGGCAGGGACGGCTGTGCTAAGGGGTGCAATGTCTTCCCTTGCCTATTATACCCGGCGCCCATGACTATAACACTGGATTTATTAATATTTCTCCCAGAATGCACTGCAACATGGAGGAGTTCACGTTTGGTGCTAGGCACTGTAAGCAGCATTTGCCGTCCACACCTGTGCTACTATAGGACAGCCCCTCAGAAGATTTGGAATGCATTGCTACAAACAGAGCTCTGAACCACAGCAGGTGTGGATGCAGTTAGAATAGAATCCTGTAGACACAGTGTGTTAGGTAAAATCATGTTGTTTTAACCCAGTCACATCTAGCATGGTTCAATATGCCAGCACAGACAACTTTAACCTCTGGAGAAAGAATTAAGACTGTCTTTTTGGAGCTGCACCTAGTCAGATTTCATCCCTGTCCCCATACCAGAATGAAAAAGAGAACTCTTCTGTGAGCGACATCAAGCATGAAGATTAGGTTAACTCAAAATCCCTAAACAGTGGTGGATTAGCCACTGGGCCAACAGGGCCCTGGCCAATTGGGGCACCCTTATGCTCCAATCTGCTCCACTCGGTGCTCCTGCCAGAGAGCGGGGTTGGGGTATGGGGGTTGCCCCACTCCATCTGCTGGGTGTTCCTGCCAGGGAGGGCAGAGCGGGGCTATTGCAGGTGGAAGTGGTGGGGAAGGGCCCCCGCTTGCTCTGGCCCAGGGCCCCACAAACCCCTAATCCACCTCTGTCCCTAAATATCATTTATTTCCTGTTTTTCACCCTCTGTTCAGTTGCTTCTCACTCAAAATCCAGCTTCAGCTATTAGCTGTATAACATTTACATAGAGTATCTATAATACTGGTTCCCAACCTGTGGTCCACAGAACAGTTGCTAGCAGTCTCTGAAGAGCTGTCTGGTCACATGTTGCTGGCTCTTTTTGTTTCCAGAGACCAAGGGGACAGTATGATCAACTTTAAGAGGAACAAGAAGAACAGGAGGACTTGTGGCACCTTAGAGACTAACAAATTTATTAGAGCATAAGCTCTGAAGAAGTGGGCTGTAGTCCACGAAAGCTTATGCTCT